TCGCGCGCATTTGGGCCCAGCGTTTCCTCGTACAGCTGCAGCGCCGCCTCACAGGGTGCGACGGCTTGGTCAAAGTGGCACTGGTAACAGAGGAGACCCGCGAGGGCGGCGTTGTACTTGGCGGCATCCAGAGACCCTTGCGACTTGTGAATGCGCTCACGCAGCGCCGACTGCATCCAGTTGTCGAGCACGTCAAAGACCATGCGGTCCAGCGCCGCAAAGCCGATTTCGGCTGCAATCACCGCGTCAATGTTCGTCTTGTCGGTGCCGACGGTCGCGCGGGCGTTCTCGCTGTTGATGCTCCCGAGCATCTCGTAGAGCGCGTCGATCTTGTCGTTGGTCATGTCGAGGAAGAAGCTATCGGCTTGCGCCGGCGCGAGCGCCACGTCAAAGCTGGCGCCGACCGAGATGGCGACGTAGACCTCAAAGACGCACCACGCCCGCGTGAGCGTGATCGGATTCTTCCACGGGTGCATGATCATGACGACGTTGCCGATGGCCGCGAGCGAGTCCTTGAACGTCGACTGCCACCACGAGAACGGGTAGTCCTTGGCTTCGTGCTGGTTGTTGTTGAAGACGCAGAACCACACAACGGGATCGTGGATGCGCTTGGCCGCGAAGAAGAGCTCGAGCGACGAGAGCGTCTCGGTAAACGTGTACAGCCACGCGTGGCTAATGTACCAATTCGATGGCTGCACGTAGTCGGCGTCGGCGGTGTGGAGCCGGACGTGCTCGACGAGCGACTGACCGGACGTCTCGGTGAATGGCACGACGTACTTGAAGCACACTTGCGCGGTCGTCAAGCCCTCAAACGACGCCTCGCCGCCATGAAGCTCGATGAACCGGCGAAAGTACGAGAGCTTGAGCCCCAGCGGCGCCGCGATCGTCGGCGCTGTCATCGCCGCACTGGACGGGTTGTGACCGGGGCAGAGAACGGACCAATGGCATCGGCGAAAAAAATCGAGCTTGCATCTGATTGGCCAGCTATAAATCCGCTTCCGTGATGCAAACGTCGCGTTGGCCGACGACACAGTATTCCTTCTCGCCAGCACCGTGCGAGTTGCTACGTCGATTCCGGCGACTGCAAACGGTGGCTTCAATGCCAGCAGAAAAGGGCTTCTCATTTGTGATAGTAGTTGGTTCCGCTCCCATTTTCTACACTCGGTATACAAGAAACAAGGTCACGTACAAAGGGTTGCTCGATCGATTCTACACTCGATAGTTGCTTTTACGCGCCGCAACGAGCAGTCGCACAGTCTTCATTTTCCATTTTGCAGCCGATCGACCACAACCATCACCGCTCCCTTCAGCCGCGCTCCGACGACCGGCCTGCCCGCGTCCACGCCCACGCGCCGCCAACCACAACGACGCCACCATCCAATAGTATACCAAGAAACAACCGTATGTAGCTCGACGCCTCGACCGCTGCACAGACCACTCCACAGGTGGTTCTGGACGAACCCGTCCAGTGTTTGGCTCGCCAAGCGCTCGCAGCGATGAGCGAAGCGACTGCAATGGATGAAATCCTACGTGCAGTCGAACGCGCTTCGCTGCGGGCGCGATGGCGGTCGACGTCGTGACGATAGCCGCGGCCAAAAGGACAGACGTCTGGCCTATAGCTGCCTTTGTGACTGTCCACGCTGCCATAAACTCAACCATTTCAATATAAGTCTCTCGTCATATGCATTTTGCAAGCGAGGACAAGCAGCGGTGATCGACTCGGAGGATATTGTGGCGAGCGGCAATCAGCGTGGATCGCGGTACATTGACCAATCAATGCCCGAATCGTGTCCAAAGCGCTTCTGATTGGCTCAAAACAAATCCTGATCAAATTTGACATTTCAGAAATTCGCTGGCACACTCCTGCGCAGGATCGACGAGCGATCGCAACGAACCGCTGAATACTCTTTCCATCCGCTCACAGGCCTAGTCGAATGTAGTCGGCTGCAGACGACCTACCGGCTGCGACAGTATGTCGCTGCGCCTTTCTGCTGCCTACAAAGGCCCCTGGGGCGCAGTTTGCGCGACGATCCCGGCGCTGCGTCGCATTCTCACATCAGCCAACTGCATGCTATGAATAGTCCTTACTGAGGCCGGTACACAGCCTCGCGAATCGCGAATCCTTCTCGCTCGTTCGGCTTGGCTTGCGCCGACGCTGCAATCCAACACTATCTCCATTGCTTTCATGAATCCAAACCTGAAATAGTGTGCTGAAACAACGCGGGCATGTCTCTTCTATTCCGTTTTTTCGTGTCTTTTTGCTTGCTGTATTAAACTATCTTGGTTTTTCTATCAACAGGATACTTTTTTAAAGAACGCGGGAATAAAAAAGAGGCACCCAATCGCGTTGCGAGCGGCTGCAAAAAACAGTATACTAAATCCAAGTCAATTGAATAGAATGGGGTGGTCGCGATCAAGCCGCATCATCGAATTTGGTCGGGCGACGGGCATGATCGCCGAAGGAGGAAGTGCGACGTCGCCGCCGCCGGCGCCGGCGGCCATGGCCCACGCCAGCAGCTCCATGAGCGACGTCTCTTCCGCGGCCGGCGAGCAGGAGTACGTGCTCAAGGTCGTCCTCATCGGCGACTCGGGCGTCGGCAAGAGCAACCTCGTCCAGCGCTTCACCAAGAACAAGTACAACGAGGCGAGCACGCAGACCATCGGTGCGCTTCGCCCATATGTGATCTGCCTCTCAGCTCTGATAGGCTTCGAGTTTGCGGCCAAGACCATCCGCGTCGGCGACCGCCGCATCAAGGCGCAGATCTGGGACACGGCCGGCCAGGAGCGGTTCCAGTCGCTCACGGCCGCCTACTACCGCAACGCCGTCGGCGCGCTCATTGTCTACGACATTACGAACCGCGCGTCGTTCGAGCACGTCACGCACTGGCTCGCGCAGATCCACGAGCACGCGCATGAGAACGTGGTCCTGATCCTTGTCGGCAACAAGTGCGACCTGGCCCACCGCCCCAACACGCGGTGCGTCGCTTGTCGTATCACCGAACCTCGATATCTGATGCCAATGGTGACAGGCAAGTGTCGACGCTCGAGGCCGCGCGGTTCGCCGAGACGCACCACATGGAGTTTGTCGAGGCGTCGGCGCTCGACTCGACCAACGTCGTCGAGGCCTTCAAGCGCATCATTGTGCCCGTCGGTCGGCTGCTCATGCCGACCAACACCAACTCGACGCCGCGGTTACCGCCGGGGTGGCGGCGCGTGCTCTCGCGCACACGACCGGGCGAGTACTCGTACGAGAACCAGTACACGAAGGAGCGGCTGGCGTTCGCGCCAAAGGAAGCCGCCAAGCCGTCGCAGTACAGCTTCCAGCATGCGGCGCGCAGTGCGAGTGCAAGCGGCAGCAACAAGAGTCTCCAGGGCCCCGCGGGCGTCACGGTCACGAAGGAGGCGTTGGAGCGCCAGCATCAAAAGGCGTTTTTGGCCCAGCAGTCCGCGTCGCCCAACTGCACGTCGCTCTTCTCGGGCGCGTGCTGCACGATCCTCTAAGATTTTTCTAATATAAACCCTCTCACGTTGCCACGTCATTTTGCTACAGGGACACTACGCGACGAGACCGTCGTCGTCGTCGTCGTCGACATGGTCGCTTGGGAAAATGCCCTTCTGGCCGTTGCACGTCTCGCCGTACCACCAGTCGCCGGGCCGCTTGTCCAGAAGCCGCACCACTTCGCCGGCGCGGAAGCTCAGCTCGTCGTCGTGCTCGCCGGCAAAATCAAACTTGGCGCGCCGACACGCGATCGTCGCCGGGCTCGTCTCGCGCACGGCGTCGTCCTTGACCCGCGGCGTCCGCGGCGTCCGGCGGTCCGGTGTCTGCGCCGGGCGCACCGGCGTGACGGCGTCGTCGTCGTCGTCGTCGTCGCACGCCGCCACCGTTGCTTCATGCGGTGCCTCCTCTTCTATTGTGGCCTCGACCATTTTTGCCGTCGACGGCAGCGCGCGCCACTATAAGCCTGTTGTACGATGCGCCGTGCGCCTTGTACGAGTGTACCTCGAGGATCGTGCTGTCGGCGCCACCGAGCGTGAGCACCCGGGCGATGCCGTCCTGCGAATATCCGAGAACCGCCGTGATGCTGCCGGCATGGCCGTCGTAGATATGGTACGGCGATGAGCGCAGGCAGGGCCAGCGAAAGCTCCGGAGACTCGACCGGTGGCCGACGAGCACGTGGTGGACGTCGGCGGCGACGGCGCGCTGGTCGTTGGGCGGCACGTCGATCGGACAGACCGAGAGAATGTCGGTGCACGCGCTGGCGTCGTCGCCCCAGATGCCTTGCACGGGCCACCCGTACACGCAGCTCCACCGGTGCCAGAGGATGTCGCGCATCTACCTTCCGTCAGTCGTCTTCATTGGATGCGAAGATGACATGTACAAGGATCGCGTCGGTGATTTGGCGGAGACTCGGACCCGGCGTCACTTGCCAGTACAGGACCTCGCCGTCGGCCGCGTTGGTTTGGAGAAGGTACCCGTCGACGCTCCAGTCCATGTGGGCAACATACGTCGCGTGGCCTGCAGTCAGATCTTATGCGCTCGTCACATACAATGCCGCATCGATTACCTTCGCACTTGGCGACGCGCTTGTAGTTCGTCGTGTCGACGAGGTAGACGCAGTTGTCCTTGCCGCCGACGGCAATGTACTTGGCATCCGGACTGATCTTGACGACCGTGATCGCGTCGGTAGCGACGACCTTGATGAGCCGCTTCTCGGCCATATTGTCGGTCGCGTTCAGGATCAGCAACTACAGATTCAGATTCAGATTCACATGGAAGACGCAATCTTCGGAAAGGCAAAGGGACCGACCTCGCCGGATGCACACCCGACAGCAACATCGGCCGTCGACGGCTGCGCGTCGACGCACGTGCCCATGCTCCGGAGCCCGATGCGACCGAGGCACTCGTGCGTTGGCAGCGACCACCAGCGCAGCGATTGGTCCGTCGAGACCGTGACGAGCGTGTCGTCGACGATCGCGCCGCCAACAACTGCGCCATCGACGCCTTCTTGGAGCAACACCCAGTCGGTCTCGGCCTCGTCGCCGTTGTCGGTCAAGATGCACTCGTAAATGCTGTGGTTGGCCAGGCCCACGAGGAGCGCGTCGCCTTGGATCGACAAGCTCGCGGGCTTGGCCTTCACCGGTAGCTCGAGCGACACTTCGAGCTGGAGGCGGTGTCGGCCGTCCGAGCTACTGGCCGCGCCGCCGATGGGCGCGTACTCGCCGAGCGTATGGGTGCCCGGAACCCGCATCGGCTCGACGAGGTGCAGGCTCCAGATGTGCACGAGGCCGTCGTAGCCGACCGAGGCGACGCGGTTCCGCTTCCCGTCGCTCGCCACGTGCGAGCAGAGCGCCGTGTGGGCGAGCGGCCCCTTGTACTCGATGGCCCGCATCCGATCCAAGACGGACTTGGCGTCTGGCTTGAGCGCGAGCCGCTGCGTCAGGTCAGCGAGCTCGGCTTGTGTGTGGCGCGAAACCTTGAATTTGTTGCCGGTGGCGACGTCGTGGGGCACGATCTCGACGAGCTTCGCGGTGGGTTCAAAGTGCAGATGCTGCATGAGCGCGGAAGTGTCGTCCTGGAGCTGCCAGTCGGTCACCGGCAGCTCCCACCACTTGCGCGGTACGATCGCTTGGTCGGCGACGTGGGCGGCGTACAGAGGCATCTTGCGCGGCTGCCAAAAGCATACAAGTCGCCTTTGGCCGTGCTAGCGATGACGCGCCCCAGTGACGTCTCCTTGGCCTAGTCCCATCTTAGAGGCTAAGCTATAAGATGCGAGGGTCGTACGGTCGGCGAGGGAAGCAGCTGGTCCGAGCCTTCGTCGTAAATTTGAAGTGGTGGCATATCATTGCAAAAGCACGCGTAGGTAAAGTCTTGCGGGTCGCTCTTCATCAACGGCGGGTTCCCCTCGAGCTTCCACACTTTTTCATGGGGCGTCAACTGGCGCATGCGGTTCGGCCCGCCAAACGACGAGCCGTAGAACGCACTGTCTTCCTAGTCAACGACAATATTGTACTTTTTCAAAACCATACACATCCATAGGTACCTTCTCGGCGGTCACGGGCGGGACGTACTCGGTCTGCGTCAGCGTCCAAAACTTAATGTGCTGGACGCCACACGACACCTAGATGAACCACATTCGAGCGGTTGTTAGAACAGCCAGGTGGTGTACGAGTGTGTAGCAGGCGTCGTCGTCCCGCAGCGCTTGGCCCGGCTGCGCGTGCAGCTCGACCGCGTACTTGGCTCTCTTGCCGTTCTTGGCCGGCGCCACAAGGGTCTTGGTCTTGTCTGGGATGCCGTACGCCTGGTACGGGTTGAACGCGAGCATGTGCACCTTGGAGCTGTGTCCTCTAGTCCGTATGTCGTCAGCTACGCATCAGACAATATACGCACCGGATCTTGACTAAAAGCGTCTCTTCTTGCCACTCGTGGATGCAAATCGAGTTGTAGAGGTCGCCGCCGAGCGACGCGACAAGCTTGCCATCGTGGGAAGAGCTGATGCTCTTGATATGGACGGTTTGCCCGCGGAGCGTGGCGAGAATGTGATTTGGGTCGTCCTTGGCGCGCACCGCGTCCCAGACCAGGATCGAAGCGGCGTCCTTCCCGCACTGGCCGGACGCGATCGTGGTTTGGTTCGGGTGGAGTCCGAGCGCCGTGATCTCGCGCGTGTGGCCGCTGTAGAAGCGTTGCGCTTGGCGGCGCTTGGCGTACATGACGACCAGCATCGCCGTGCACCACACGACCTCGCCGGATGCCAAGTAGAGGACGTTGGAAGTGGCACTCGGATGGTACCCGGTGGCCCGGTGCAGCTGCAGCGTCATGGCCGGCGGCTCCAAGAGCGTCGACCGCGCCGGGTTGAACGAGCTCGGCGCAAAGACGGTGCTGCGGCACTCGGGGTATCGGGTCACGGCCGCCTCGTAGGCTTTCTGCTTGAGCTGCGCACTCTCGCGCTGCGTCTGCTTGTCGATGCTCGCGACGCGCGGGAGGTTCTTGGCTAGCACCATGCACGTCTCCTCCTCGTCGAAAAAGGTGTACGATCGTGGTATGTACCGAAGAGGAGCTTCCCGTCTTCGCTGCGGCCCGCGTCGTCAGCGAGGTCGAGCAGCGACGGAAGGCGCTGGAACGACGGAGGCTTCTTGCGCGTCGGCGACTCGAGCGCCTTGACCGGCGAGAGCTCGTACTTGACGACGGGGCGGTTCCACGCCGCGCGCGCCTCGAGCTCGGCCGTGATGCGCTCGACGTCCGAGATGAGCGTCTGCACCTGCGCCGTCAGCGTCGCGATCGCGGCGTCGCGAGAGGTGAAGAGTGCGTCGACTTCGCGCCGAACGAGGTCGGTCACGAGCGAGACGACTACGCCTGCGTCAGCCGCCACCCGCATGAAGAAGGGCCATGGACGTACGCTGGTCGTTGAGGCCTTCCTCGGCCATCGCGGCTGCTCAACACCCAAATGACCGTTTTTCCGAAACCGGCCACGTGACGTGGCACGCTCTGAGACGACGTGCCCTTCGGTGTCGCACCACTAAGATCTGTTTGGGTGTCTTGGGTGCGACCGACGGATCCATTCCTGTCGCAGACAATATCGAACAGGGGTAGAGCACTAACTAACTGTACGCTTGATTATAACATAGAAGAGGATAAGTTACGCAACAACAGAGAGCCGACGCCGGCTTAGACGGTCGCGACGTAGCGTGTCTCGTTGGGCTCGTCGTCGGCGCAGCTCGACGTGCACGTGGCCTCAATGTTGACGTTTGGCTCCGTGCGGCGCGGGCCAAAGACATACGAGAGGCCGAGGATCGCGAGCACGCCCGTGGCCCCAAAGACAGCCCCCGCCTGCCACGAGAGCGCTACGCATGAGAGTGAGTCGACTGTCGCAACACAAGTGTCATGTACCGTCGCCTTGGCGGGCGGGCATCGCAGTAAACGGCGCCGTCGACGGCCGGGCCGAGAGGCAGGAGGTGGGGTCCCCGCAGACTGTCGTCGCGAGGCCCGTCACGTTCCCGATGAGGTGGGTAAGCGCCGTGTTGCACTCCTTTTGGTTGGCAAACGTCGTGCAGCGGCGCGTCGAGGCCGGCACGTCGCGCACGCACTCCATCGCGCTCGAGCTGTTGCTGAGGACGAGGCCGACGACGCCAGCGGTGCCACCCATGCACTTCCAGAGAGGACGGTCGTCGTGGCTTTCTCGCAAGGCGATGCGGGCGGCGGCGCAGATCGAGGTCGGGTCTTCGCTCCACGGTGTCCCGGCCACGACGCCGGACGCCGGGCCGCACTGCAGTGCGTCGCCGACGCTTCGGACAAGGTACACGGCCGAGGCCAGCGACGTTTGCTTGTCGCAGTTGACGCCGCCGGTCGAGAGACACTCGGGGTTGCCTGCGCTCGTGCTCGAGTTGCGCACCATGTAGTAGTACGTGGACCGGCCGTCGCTCACTGGCACGTAGCTCCATAGCGTCACGCTGCTGCTGCTGTTCGCTGTGGTGTTGAGAGACGTTGCCGCCGTCCGCGGACGCACTTGGTACGAGGCGATCGGCGTCGCGCTACTGTTGACGAAGCTCGTGTTGCGGCGCCACACGGTCGACGGGCCCTCGTAGTTGGGCAAGGCATACGCGACAAACTCGACATTGGCAGACGACAGTGCCAGCGACTGCACCGGGACCCACGCGTCGCCCGTGTTGGCGACGTTGGTCGTGGCCACGACGGCGTCGCCGCGGTAGAACGGGATCGGGAAGAGCGTGACGTCGGCAGCGACGGACGTGCTCAGACAAAGCACAAGGGCGGTTGTGATCCGACGCATGAAAGGTAAACTGGCGATGTTGAAGCCGCTGAGATCTGAGATCACGATTGGATGCTTTTTCGAAGCGCTGTGATTGGCCAGTTTTTACAAGTGTTGACCATGCTGTCCTACATATCGCTCTGTCCAACAGTGGCTCTGCATACGGCAACCTCGGACAGGCACTGCGTAAAGACGACTTCGATTGTCGATAGACGGCGCCACAGAGACGCTGTGAGCGCGCGACGGCGGTGGAGGGTCGTGGGTCTGAGGCCAGCAGTGGCGAGATTTTCACGACGGAATGCATCGCCAGCTGCTCGTTGAGCTGTTCTTCCTTGGCCGCCATCTGGCCGACTCCGGCTGCGCCGGCAACGTCTTGCCTTCAGTCCCTCACAAATTGAAACAGCCTTGTACTGTCGGTTTGTATGCGGGCATAAAAGGAGCAAAGATCCGGACCAAATCTTGATGGACCATGCGCAAACTTCAACTTGACAGATGGCACCTGGGTGCACACGATCTGACTACACGTTGGACCTGGTCTGGCTAAGCGGCGGCGCGCCAAGGCTTCGAAGACCAGGGTGCGGCTCTAGACATCAGTAGAATAGAATGCAAGAGTGAGCTGGCAAGACGGAGAATCGGGCTGGAGAATTGAGCTGGAGAGTGGTAGCGCCGTCGTCGACACCAGTTGTCGACGCAGTCGTCAGCGTTCACTTTTTTGGTCACGAGCGACAGGGCCACACCTCTCACGTTGGGTTCGTCCAAGAAGCTGCTGACATTTCGGGGAGCTACCTCCTATTCGATGGCTGCATCGCGAGGTGGCAAGGGCAAAGCCTGGCGTGCATGCTGCCATGCGCTTTAGTACGGAAATGCATGCTACGTGCTGCCATGCGTCCAATATGATTGCTGAGGAGCGATCAAGAGTCGTCTGCAATCTTTACGTGCAACCCGTCCTCGGCGGATGGATTCAGAGCACGTCCGACCCGCTTCGAGAGAAGACCGGCGCCGCGTTTGCGTGCTTCCAAAAAAATCAATATTTTAGAAAAAGACATGTGGAAATAATCCCATTCAAAAGAACACTTGGGATGTGGCTACCTGGTGCCATTCGCATCCGGTAGTCTAATGTTGTTGTATTTTCTACTGCGTCGCATTTGTCTTCCTCTCGTTGGGCGATCCGCGGTGCTTATCCTCTGCTCATACTGGACCTTCCTAGTACGATGGAGTGCCGTTTTCTCATTGGTCCAATATTCTTGCGAGGCTTCTCATTGGTCAAAAAGTCGCGTGCCATCTCAACCTCCGAATATCATTCTGATGACAGCGCTGGCTCGCTGACTTCTGGTACCTCGGCATGCTCAATCCAAGAGCAGCGACCAGACACTGGTTGCTTCTTCGACGATCTGATCGTCGAGGTCACGTCATGATGGGTATGGCTATACCGCATTCGGATACTCTCGTCATCTGAATCAAACACCTTCTTCGCACTGGCGCAGAACTAAGACAACACATAGTATCACCAAGACCATAAATGGGATCTGCAGTGCACGCGGCAGAAAGCGCTCCACGGCGGCCTGTACACGCAAGATTCGTCTTCCTACAGATTCTGGCGTCGCCAGTTGATGTGACTGGAGCGAGTGCACCAGTCCAGATTCCAAACGCGGTCTCGTCTCCAAGGTCGTGGCACTTGGCGATTTCCATGGTCTTGCGGATGCGTCTGCTGCTTCTACTTCTAGTAGGCGCCGCTGCGCACGCGCAGATCACGCTCTATGAGCTTCCGGCGTTCCGCGGTCGGTCCCTCTTGCTCACCGACGACGTGGTCAACGTCTCGAGCCTCCTACGATCAGGCCACAACGTGGTGCAGTCGCTAGCCATTGACGGCCCCTACGTCGTCACAACGTTCGACCAGGTCGACTTTCGAGGCCTGCACGCCACTTGGCGCTACTCGACCAGCTTTACCGCAGCGTGGACGCATCGGATCCGGTCGCTCCGCGTCTCAAACGCCAGTGCGAGGATCGAAGCGCCGCCGAGTGCACTCGACTGGAAGTTGGCGGCGACCCGCGACGGCTTCATTATGGTGCGCAGCTCGACGACGAACGCGGGGCATCCCGAGTGCCACTCGACGGACGCAGTGACGTGCACGACACGCGCGCACCTCTACGACTTGCTCGACCGCAACGAGGAGATTGAGAGCCTCCGCCCGGCGCCGTGCGGCCCGCCTCGGATCGAGCACTGGAACAGCAGTGGCTATGGGCGGCACGAGTGGTGCGCCAAGGCTCGCTTCGGCCTGAGCGCGAGCGGGCGCCACGGCTGGCATTACATTCCGGCCAAAGATCCCAGCGGCATTGTCATCAAGGTGCTCGACGAGTCGCTGTGCGTGCAGGCGCGGACGAGCGCATGCGACCCGTTCCCGTCCGTCGAGGTGGCCGATGCGTGCGCGCGGGCGCTGCTGTGGAGCAACGAGAACGGCACGTATGACCTCGACGCGTTCTACCAGTACGCAGCGCTGGAGGACCACGGCAAGTCCTCCAGCTTCATTGGTAGTTCCATGTCTTTCTCGGTGAATTCATGATGACGATGAGTAGAGTCGTTCGTCTTTGGCTTCTTGGTGGCGTCGACACTCCTCGTCGTCCTCGCAGTCCTCGTCGTCATCCGCCTTCGCGCCAAAGCCAGTCGCGACGTCGACGCGACGTACTGCTCGAGCTGCAACGACCTCGACGAGTCGCAGGCGCCGTATACGTAGTCGTCCATCGACCAGCGCACCTGGTGCTGGCGAGCGTCTTTGTGTTCACTGTCGTGTCAGTCTCTCAAGCGCGTGTTTTCCACGTGCATATCACACGTGCGTGTGTGATCCATGTGATAAACGTGAACGATGTGTGATTTGGATGTGAAATACGTGTGATTTGCGGTACGAAGAGGTGGCACGAAGAGCTCGGATTCTGCTGCGACTGCACTCGGGCTACTAGAACCTGGGACTGCGAAACACATTATCAGCGCGGCGACTTCAAGCGACCAAAGAAGCACAGAACAATGCCACAGGACCAGGTAGGTGGTCCTACTGAGAGACCTGATATCGAGGGTGCGCAGGTGCCAATCAATTTTTGTGCTCGCGAACTTCTAGTTCGCGTCCATATTGTTCTCCGATTCTTCCGGACAGGGTTAGGAGTAAGAGTCGAGGGACTGGACGGGCGGGCAGGACGAGGTTGGCGACGATAGAAGTATAGGAGGTGGGTTGGGGCCGTTGGTTTGGCGTGTTGCGGGGCTTGGACGCCTTGGTTTCTGGGCAAACGACGTTGTCGACGTTCCTGGAACGTTCCGCGCGCCTTTAACTCGCGAGCAAAAAACAGAACCGGGTTCTTTTTTTTCGACTCGGTTTTCTTTGCCGACCGGCGCAGGTGGCCCACCACATGTCGCAGTCAGACGAGCCAATCGCTTCGCCTCAAAGACTCAACGAGTCGGCGATGCGATAGAGACACGCCGGCGACGGTCGCCAACGCTGGCATTGCCATTCTTGAGTTATCCATGACACGGAACAACCTTCTTTTTTTCTGCTTCGGGTCCGTGGCGGCCGCGGCTTCCGGTCCATGGCGCCTCCTCCCGCGCTCGGACGGCTTTACCGCGGTCCGCCTCGCGGCTACGACGACGCCCGAGTGCTACTCGGTCGACGGCGTCAACTG